TAAGCACCTCTACAGTCGAAGTTCTTAATCGAGCTCTTCTGAGGTATTGAAGTTTTAATCATACGACATATTTAAAGCCATTCTTGTGTTCATAATTACGTTCTTAGTTGTTTTGCCTGCATAGAATCTATCGATCCTAATAGAACTTTGTTCTAACAATCCTTAAGGATTAATCTAGAAACCTAAGGAGACTTCAAATTTTCGACCATCCCTAGAAAATTCTAGATACCTTCTCTTGTTCAACTATTGAACAATTACAACTTAGGTCCTTGCACTTTTAATTAAGCCGATTAATCCCAAAATGAATTCCAAATAATTTCTGATTAATTATTAATTAAATAATACTATTTCTAATTAATATATTAACCTCATAATATATTAATAAATTATTTATTGCTATTTATTAATCTTATAATACACCAATAAATCAACCTCTCTCTCCAAAAATTCATTCCGTCAATTACTAGTTTTGAGGTCAACCCAAAAGGACTTTGCTTTTAATTCAAGTACATACCAATTTAGTTATTGGCTTGGACACCTAATCCAACAGTTATATGCTTTCTTATATACTATCACATAAGCACTAATGGACCATACCTTTCAACAAAGTCAAAGCATGGTGTTGTATGAAGCATGAGAGCAAGAATGAAAGACAACACTCAACCTCTCCCATGCTTTGTAGCAAGACTAGAAGATAACACTCAACCTCTCCTATGCCTTGTAAACCCACAGTTAAGAAGAATGAGATGGGAGGTTGTTTGTGTTGTACTATATCTCATTAACTATCTTTTATATCTATTATTTATATAACATATGAATGAGCTTCTAAAGGTCTAAAAATATGTACACAACATATAAACCATACCAAATGTGTATATAGTTGTTTTCTATCTTAGAAAATATTATTTCCATAAATAATAAATTTTCAGTTAAATACAAGTGTTGATAATATTATTAGTAATAAAATTCTAATAAATAATCAGTAAGTGAGAACTTGCTATAAGATGTAACCCTATATGATCTTTCGTAAAATAACGCCAGGAAACAGAAAATGTTGCGATGTGGTTTTCAGTTTAGGGTTTCATATTAAACTCATCATCATGCCACAAAAGAGAGCCTTTCACTCAACGAAAATGCAGAAACAGTCCGAATAAAAAACCATAATCGATTTTCAGCTCAACAAAACTTTTAAAACAATTTAAAGCTTGTAGTAACATGATCTAATTAGTTTTCTAGCATGCAAATTTGGTTTATAGAAACAGAACAGAAATCACATGCTATATACATGAAGAAGTGGCTATGTTACCGTTAATGTGTTATGAGGATCCTAAAGGCTACAAAGTCACAATGGAAGCATATGCGTGTACCTGTCTACTAGTTTCCTGAGAATACAAGTGATTTTGAAAGTGTATCAACATTTAAGTTGGTGAGTTCATAAGCATTTTGTTTTAGAAAATAAGTTCTTTGTTCCTTGAAAATGTTCGTGTGTTCCTCCAGAAAATCCTATATTTTCTTAATAAGTAATGATAAGTAATATGATCATACCAGTTCCTTCTACGATCACTTAGTTAATACAAGTTATATATAATCCAGATCGAATGGACAGTTGAATGTGTGGATCTGCCCTAAGCCCACAACCAAACAAGGAACAGGAAGTAAGGCGGAAATCACACATTCCACTGCCTATCGGATCTTCATTATATATAACCCTAACGTATTCACTAAGTAATTATAGAGTTAACAATAAAGTTCCTTTTAGATGTGGTGAATGTGTTCCTTCATGTTATACTGTTTTGTAAATAAGTGTTGAACCTTGTGTAAATATGTTCCTAGTTCCACTCGCTCTGCTGTGAAGTATTGTTTTCGGTAAGTAATCGTATTTGTTTCCAAAAAGTTGAATTGTAAATTGTTTGCTTGTAAAATAATGATATTTATCCTAGAAAATCCTATATTTTCCATAAAACCGAATTGTAGTCTTTAACGTTCCAAGACCGAAAAGTACAAGTATAATTTCCATACTTAATTTAATGATATGTAGTTTTATTCATAAGTAAAACTAGTTGAAGGCGTGTTCGCACTGTAAACTAGATGTGATGTTAATACCCTCCTATGATCACTTAGTACATACGAGTTATATAAAATCGATATCGAACAGACAGTCGAATGGGTGAATCTGCCCTAAGTGCACAACCAAACAAGGAACAAGAAATAAGGCAGAAATCACACATTCCACTGTCTACCGCACATTAATTTTATATAACCTTGATGTATATGCTAAATAATCACAGAGTTAATGCCTCTTTAATACTGTTTGAAAATATACCATTACATAAATATTTAGTTAATGCTTATTGTGAGTGTTCATTATAACCATGATAATATGACTAATGGCCTGCACGACGTTCTTCAGGCGTCGGAAAGTTATGACATTTGTCACCCTAGACTTGCTGGTCTACCTGTAGCGAACAGCTGAGGTGCGGGGTTGTCAATCCCATATAGATCTATACACAACTCACGCTCTCCCTCCAGGAGACTCTGGTTATAATTCAGGATTTTAACGGGTACCATGTTTGGTACAACGAAGGAGTGCCTCAGAATCCTGTATTAATTAGTTTACATAAAGTGTGTTAAAGTTATCTTTTCCTTGTTATCGCCTGTGTTATCCTTTCATAGTATTTAAAATGTATAAAATAATCATATTTTTTTATATAATTATTCTTTTGACCCAAAAGAGTAAAATAACGTGAATGCTCCCCAAACTATACTTATTATAGTTCAAAAGTGTATGTTTCGATGAAATGGTAAAACTTTAGTATTTTTAACAACTTTATACGTAAGAGTTTATAAGTTTGGTAGTAACGAGTTTAGCATCTTGCGTAAAAAATATATATAAAGTGCGTGAAAACATCATGAACGATTTATGTTTTTAAGCACAAGGTTTCTTGTGTTTTACTTGTATTCCCCACCTCCCCCAAAACATAGATAAGCTTGGAAAAATGTAGGGGTATCAACTCACGTTGGTTTGGTTTGGTGGGTGATTTGAAGTGATGAAGTAAAGATTTCACGGCTAAAACACTTGAAGTGTTTGATGAACTCTTTGAAGCTTATGATACCCTATGGATGTTAACACATAATATTATGTGTAAATAGGATTGTATTAACATAATACTGTGTTGATTCACTAGTAAATGTCCAAAATACTTACAAGGATCTAGGGACCAAGCTTAGAGAATGGTTGAACTTGCAAGTTTGTAACTTTCTTTTTGAGGGGGTTTAGAATGATGTTTAAAGGAGAGGAAATGTGAGGTTCTGGAATGGGTTTACTGTCGTGAGCAAAAAGATGGAAGAGTGTTAGGATGTTCACTAGATTATATGGGGGAATATTAACTTGGATATTCGTGGGATAATTCATGGATACATGTTGGTTAATTACGTGGGAACCTGTGAATTGCATGGGGAAATAGGAATGGACATCACATCCTAAAGTCAACCATTTTTGTTTGTTTCCTCCTCTAGACCGCAAACTCCCTTGGAAACACTTTATTGTGACCGAAATCACCCCATCCCTTGGGGATTTCGGTCCTAATGGTTCTAGGATGGGGTTTACGACGAACTATGGTCCACTAGGGTAGTTTTCGGCCAAAGTGTGGTCCACTAAGGGTGTTTATAGTTCTAAGATGTCTTAGGTAGGAGATTTCGGTTGTAGGGTATCCTAGATTGGTGATTTCGGTCATGAGATGTTCTAGGGTGAGGTACTTGGCTAATTATTAAAACAAAGTTCACATTTCATGATTTCTATTCCCACATTTTGACTAGTCTTGTTTTATTAAACTTGTTTACTTTCAAGGGGGTTATTTATGATATGGTATTCAAAGTTTAAGTATATAATAATTTATACAAAACATGCTCTTCATGGCTTTTAATGTTCTAGGGCATCAGGTTATGTTGTGAATTCACTTATGCTTGGTTAGGGTTTAGACCTTGATGGTTCCAAAATTTCCCAGTTGTGACATATCGAGATTTTAGAGAAGGTGAGAGGATAGTTGGATTTCTTAGGGTTGTTTTCACTTAGGATTGACTTTGAATACGATTATGAAGCCCTTTATTTATAGGAAATGATTTAAATCCTTATGAAGTAATTACTTGGTCACTAAGTAATTATCCTTATGTTTGATAATTATGTGACTTTCAGATTTTTACACTTACACCCTCATAGATCTACAAGTTTCATCAAGTTGAGCATCCTCTTATGGCGTATAAGACTAGAGAGCATTGATGTGAAGTCTATTACTTGTTACAGTTTTGTATGTTGTGTTGAGAAAATTATACATGTTTTTTTATGAACTTCATTGGCTAAGTTGTGGGTTCGAATTGTTTTTTGGTGCAGGTTTGAGTTTCGTGCTCCCCAAAAAATATGAGAATTCCGAAACCCCTACAAAAAGTAAAATACGAACTCATCACGATCGCAATAGTCGTTAATGGAAAACATTTGATGCAATGGTGATGTCTATGTTTTTGATTTTATGGAGATTGCAGAATTGTCTTATATTTCGCAACTATTTCTAGAAAACCTTATATTTGTGGTGATGTTGTTGATATTACATTTTTATGGATTTTTAATAAATGTATAAAAGCAAAAATGAATTGAATTACTTGGCTTTAAAACCTAGTTTAATTTGTCCTCTTTGATAATATTTTGTTTTCAGCTCCTTGCTAATATACTTCCACGTCTTCAAAAAATCTTCTAATTACATTTTCAAGTAAAAGTCGGACAAAATGTTAGATTTGATTCGTTGGTTTTAATCCTCTACTAAATTTTGATTCCTTTTTAATTCTCTAACGTTTTCCAACTTATTTAATAAAAAAATTACAAAAATAAATAAAAATAAAAATATTAATAGACATATTTTACTTTTTTAAAACTGAAGCATAAAGTAGAGGACCTTTTTTTCACTTCAAGCACATAAAGAAATCCTCATTGACTAGTAAACCTTCACCCGATGAATGCCACATCATCGAGAACAAGAATCGTAGCCGTAAAACATTTCCAGTACGGCGGGAAAGAATTAAAACGGTGGGACCCAGCTGGAGTCGTTAAATAGGGAGCCCATCTCCATAGACTCCACATACACCACACCTCTCCTTCTCACTGCCCCATCAAAATCTGCCTGAAACAAAAGTACTAATTTCGTTGCACGAGGTACAAGTCTCTGGTATCATAGCTTTCATTGTCGGTTCAAGGTAAGAATTCATAACTTCTCTCTGCTGCTTTTGTATTTTGTTTACACTTTTAGAAAGTTATAGGTGTTGGGGTTTCGAGTATTTGATGTTCATGGATTATTTTAATCAATGGTTGAGTTCGAAACATACCAAGAAGGTGTTTGGAAGAGCTTAAAAAATGAACAAATCGATTATACACCTGTCTAAGTTAAATTGAGCTTTTTTAAATAACAACTTAGTGTATGTATATGGAAGATAAATCAAAAGCTCTCAAATATCTTTTTATAAATTTAGAAAAGCTCTCAACTTTAGGACTTTGCTGATTTGGTTGGGTCAGGGTTAAAGGGATCTCAAAAGTCTTTGAATACCACAATACGATGTATACCATTGGCCATTTGGCCTAGGTATCCAAGACGACAAATGGTTTTCTAAAAGTTGAAAATATAGAAGAGATGGATTTGAATTTTCTTAATTTTAAAATGAATTATTAAAATGTTAGCTATTAAATAATATGATAATCAATAACAATAATAATATTTGATACAAATAACTAATAAGTTAGTTAAAATAAAAAAATTAATTGAGTTTTTATTTTTTAATTATGAATATGTATCTGCAAAAATCTTAAAAAGTAAAAGTTTAATAATCTTGTTGAAATCTTAATTATTTAAAAACTTAGGCTTACGTACTATTTTTTAATTATTAAAACGTGACAGCTTAAAGCTACGTTAATATACATGTAACCTACCAAACATAACCTAAAATCAATCATGAAAAGTTTGTAACTATAACCTAAATGACATTTTCATATATATATTTTAAATATGAGACCACAATTGAAACTTACTTAAGAAAGAAAAGTTTGTTGGAGGTTAAAAAGACTATTATAATTGTAATAGCCTTTTCGTCGCCAAACTCTTTATATACATTTTTTTATATTAATAAATAAAAAAAGTATTAAGAAATTAATCCAACCCAAGGTTGTCAAGACCGGGATGATACATAGGATCGTTTTTGGGTTTGCAAGATCTGGATCGGGATCCTAAGATTCCACAAAATAAAATATAATTTTAATTTATAATTTTTAATCATGAAAAACATGGATTTATTCAAAAAAATATATATAAATTTTAAAAATTTAGAAAGTTTGAATTTATAAGGTAAAAGAAAAAAATATTTAACTATCAAAAGTAAAATGATTATCTCTGTTTTGAATTTAAACAAATAATTTATATAAATGAATAATTAAGATAATCAAAATCAATTTAGAATTTTTTTGTTTTTTTTTTTAGAAATTTAAATACTATAAGAAAAGATAGGAAACTGAAATACTAATGTATTGTTTTGGTAACTAATTAAAGTAATATTGTATTCACTATTTATTTATATAATAAGTAATATAAATAAGATTAAATAGTAATATTTATAATAATAAGTAATATTTATAATAATAGCATAGATAATATAAATTACTTCCAGTTAAGTTTTATTTAAAATGATAAAACTTTATGCAATTTAATAAAAAAACAAATATTCTTATTACGTATATTCCTAACAGAATGGAACATAAAAGATACTTAGAGTACAAACTTTGAAAATTTAAAATTTCCATACTTGCCAATTCCGTAACAAATTCCGTCGTAACATGGAAAAGGAAGTGTAGAAAATTGAATGGTAAAGAGTGGTTAGTATTTAGTAAAGGTATAATATCAGCACGCCAATTATAAAGGCGATCGTTTTCATTGAATATCACATGATTTTAGAGTACACACTTTGAAAATTCAAAAGTAATATAATTAGGTTTTGACCTTCTTTCTAAATGTTCACATTTTCACTTAGAATCACATATTATGTGACTTGAACTCGTGAAGAAGTTATTAAGAAAAAGATCTTCATAATTTAAATCTAGCCGAATAATAGGAAAAGAGCTTATTCGTATACCAAAGTCTATCATACACAACAATTAATAGTTTAGAAAGTTTGTACAATATATATAGCAAAAAAAGGTTATTATTTTGTATAACAAAAATATTGTTGCATACAAATTGTGATCATGTATTTGGTATTTATAGAGAAATAAAATTTAAAACAAAACATATATATATATATATATATATATATATATATATATATATATATATATATATATATATATAAAGAGAGAGAGAGAATTCAAAATAATAATAATAATAAAGATTTTGAAACTCAATTTTAACCATATATTTTTTATTTGCCGCTCTAAACCTATCGACAGCAGCGGGATATGCTTAATTATAAATGATTATATCGTAGAAAGGTATAGGTTTATACATACATGCATAATCATAAATGATTATGCATACATATCTATTAACAGAGTAAGTAATCACATGTGATTATGGTGGTTGCTGGCGGAGAAGATGGTGGTGGTACAGGTGGCGGTGGCAGTGATAAAGGTGACAGGGGTGGTAGTGTTGGGGGCCGGTGGGTGGTGGAGATGGTAATAGTGGTGGTGACGGTGGGGAAGGTGGTGGTGGAAAAAGAAACGGACGGCGATGAATAATCATTTATGATTATAACTCGACCGCCGAGTCAGTACACTAGAACAGTAGAACGACAAATGAGATATATGTTGTTAAGGTTGCATCTAAGGATTTTTTTTTTTTAATTTCAATGGAATATATATATATATATATATATATATATATATATATATATATATATATATACCTCCTTTCCTCTCTTGGTTAGCTGGTGTAATATTTTTTTTGTTACCAATGATTAGAAAATTATATATATATATATATATATATATATATATATATATAATTTTCTAATCATTGGTAACAAAAAAAAATATTACACCAGCTAACCAAGAGAGGAAAGGAGGAGGGGAAGGAGGAACCGGAGGTCCTAAAACACAACACAAACCACACGTAGGGTGTAGTATTCCTAGGTGCGGTTCTGGCCATCTGCACCTATTGGTTTTCAGTACACTGTTTGTCTAAAATAATACATAAATATAAAATTTAATATGAAAAAACTAAGGTCTTTATTATATATCAATTTTGATAAATAGTACATAAATGTAAGATTTAGTATATAAAAGTTATGCTTTTTTTATATATAATACATTTTTTCGAGATGCAACCTTCATTGCACTTTAAATTCTTGTAAAATAGTCTTTTCCAAAATAATCAGTATTTCATCAACAAATAATATTACAATAATTCATATTAATTTTTGTTAGGAGTAATTGTTTCAAAAAAAATAAAATATTTGGTTCGATGCAACTATTTTTTTTTTTTGTTATTTATCATTTCCTGACCTAATTTTGATTAATTAGTAACAAGTAATTAAAATATCTTATTGTATCTACTAACGATTGAAAGTAGAGAATATATTAATCTAACTTGTCACTATTAATTACCCTTCATTTTGACAAAAATTACAGGTTATGGCAAACGAGAACTTGAAAGTGCTAAACGCACTTGACGTAGCCAAGACCCAATGGTACCATTTCACCGCCATTGTAATCGCTGGCATGGGCTTCTTCACCGACGCATACGATCTCTTCTGCATCTCCCTCGTCACCAAATTACTCGGTCGGATTTACTACCATAACACCGGCGACAAAAACCCTGGCTCCCTACCACCTAACGTCTCAGCCGCAGTCAACGGTGTTGCCTTCTGTGGGACCCTCGCCGGCCAACTCTTTTTCGGTTGGCTAGGTGACAAAATGGGCAGGAAAAAAGTTTACGGAATGACCCTCATGCTTATGGTCATCTGCTCCATAGCGTCGGGCCTCTCCTTCAGCGACGAACCCACGGCGGTGATGGCTACCCTCTGTTTCTTCCGGTTTTGGCTAGGGTTTGGGATTGGTGGCGACTACCCACTCTCCGCCACTATCATGTCAGAATATGCAAATAAGAAAACCCGTGGGGCTTTTATTGCCGCCGTGTTTGCCATGCAAGGGTTTGGAATTTTGACCGGAGGGATGGTGGCTTGTATTGTCTCCGCCGCCTTCAAGTCGAGTTTTCCGGCGCCAGCATATGAGGAGGACGCGTTAGGATCGACTGTACCACAAGCCGATTACGTATGGCGGATAATTCTAATGTTCGGGTCGATTCCGGCTTTGATGACTTATTACTGGCGGATGAAGATGCCGGAAACCGCCCGATACACCGCCCTTGTCGCGAAAAATGCAAAACAAGCGGCGGCTGACATGTCAAGAGTGTTGCAAGTTGATCTCGAAGCAGAGCCCGAGAAAATACAAGAGAAAAGCCCGAACAGTTTCGGGCTTTTCTCGAAACAATTCGCTAAACGACACGGGCTCCACTTACTCGGAACCACCACCACATGGTTCTTACTTGATATCGCATTTTATAGCCAAAACCTATTTCAAAAAGACATTTTCACCGCGATCGGGTGGATCCCGGCTGCGAAAACCATGAACGCAATCCAAGAAGTTTTTAAAATCTCGCGGGCCCAAACCCTAATCGCACTGTGTAGCACGGTCCCCGGGTATTGGTTCACGGTTGCGTTTATTGATCGAATCGGGCGTTTCAAGATCCAATTGATGGGGTTCTTCTTCATGACCGTGTTCATGTTTGCCCTCGCGATTCCTTATCATCATTGGACACAAAAAGAGAACCGAATAGGGTTTGTTGTGATGTATGCATTGACATTTTTCTTTGCGAATTTCGGGCCAAATGCCACGACATTTGTGGTCCCGGCCGAGATATTCCCGGCCCGGCTTCGGTCAACGTGCCACGGGATATCTGCGGCTTCGGGAAAGGCCGGGGCGATAATTGGGGCATTCGGGTTCTTGTATGCAGCTCAAAGTCAAGATAAAACTAAGACCGATAAAGGGTATCCGCCCGGGATTGGGGTTAAGAACTCGCTTATTGTGCTCGGGGTGGTGAATTGTCTCGGGATGTTGTTTACGTTTTTGGTACCAGAATCGAACGGGAAATCTTTGGAAGAAATGTCTAGGGAAAATGAGGGTGAGGATGAAGAGGTGACGGAAATGGAATCCGAGAGGACTCATGAAAATAGAAGCTTACCAATTTAGACCATCGGTTATAAATAGTTAAGACTTAGGTTATAAATATTTATAGTTTTTAGTAAGTTAAACGTATAAAAAGAAGAGTTATTATGGAGTCCACGAGATTTGGAAGATGGTTTATATGTACCTAATGTTCACGAGTAATGAAGATTACACTTTTATTATATGTAAATTAATGATGAGCATTTTGTAATACTAACTAAGGTCATGTTTGGTATAGAGAAATAGGAAAAGAGAAATGGAAATCATTCAACTTCCCTTGTTTGTTTGAGCTTTTTGATAAGGAAGAGAAATGTAAAAAAAGGGATTCCATTTCCATTATTTTAATAATCTGTGAATAATAAAGAAATGATGGGAAAACAAAAATTATCATATGCTGAAAAAAATAAAAATAAAAAAGCGGAGACTTGAAAAAATAAAAAATAAAAAGAGTCGCTCCCCTCGTCTCATACCTCTCATAGTTAACATTCTCAATTCAAGGCCCACGGATGATTTTCTCTTGCAATGTACTACTTTACTTTTTTCATATTGAAACCAAGTCTAAAATATGTAATTTACATGGCAAGTTTATATATAACTTTAAAATATGTCATTTATACGATAAGTTTATATATAACTATAAAAATGTGTCATTTATACGACAAAGTTTGATAATTATAAAAAATTATAGGTAATAAGTAATTGATAAAATGAAAATTTTTAATAAGAAATGCATAATGTGATAAATTAATATGTAAATCATAATGATAATCACGTCGTGGCAAAATCCTTCACGTCGTGATTTTTGTTAAAGTATGTTGCTTCCACTGTTCAACTTACGTAACTTAAATCTTTGTTCTCGGTCACGTCATGACCCAAGCTTGTCACGTCGTAAGCCTAGTAAAATGCATTTTTCTTGTATTTTTAAGACTTAAAACAACCATATTTATAAAACTCTTTCTCTGATACTCCTTTTTAACTTAAAACACATGATTCTCTTACCATAACCCCACATAAACATACATTCATACACATACACATAAAATAATATAAGTCTTTAGAAAAACAAGCATAACAAGTTATCCCTCCCTTCAAGAGATTTCGTTCCCTGAAATCTCCGATCTCACTCAGAAAAGATGAGGGTATCTATTCTCATATTCCAACTCTGGTTCCCATGTTACGTTGGATCCTTTATGATGACGCCATTATACTTTTACCAATAGAATTTTCTTGTTGCGCAACTTCTTTATCTTACGATCAAGAATCTTTTTCTGGTTGTTCTTGATATCTCAACTTTTTGTCCACTTCAATATCATATATTGGTACTTCTTGTGTTTTGTCAAATAAAGCTTTTCTCACATAAGATACATGAAAAACATTGTGTATACCTTAAAGTTCATTTGGTAGGTCTAGGCGATAAGCAACTTTCACAATTCTTTGTAGGATTTGAAAGGGTATGATATATCATAATTCTTTGTAGGATTTGAAAGGGTATGATATATCGTGGACTCAACTTCCCTCTCTTAGCAAAACGGATTACACCCTTCCAAGGTGATACTTTCAACATTACCATATCACTAACATTGAACTCTAAAGGTCTTAGTCTATTATATGCATATTGTTGTTGTCGGTGTTGCACCACTCTCATGCACTCTCTTATCGTTTCGGTTTTGGCTTCAGTTTCTTCGACAATCTCTGGCCCAACTAATGGTTTTTCTCCAGGTTCTGTCCAACACGTAGGAGTTCTACATGGTGTTCTGTACAGTGCTTCATACGAAGCCATCTGGATACTGGAATGATAACTATTATTATACACAAATTCTGCCAACGATAAATGTTTATCCCAATTACTGCCAAAATCAATCACACAGGCCCGCAATATATATTCGAGTGTTTGAATTGTTCTTTCACTTTGTCCGTCGGTTTGCGGAGGGTAAGCGGTACTCAATAGTATTTTTTGAACCCATTTGGTTTTGGAAAATCTGCTAAAACCGAGATGTGAAACGGCTATCTCTATAAGATATAATGGAAGTATAAAGGTATAAATTGATATTGAGAATGGTTGATTATATCTGATTGATAATAGACGCCTTATATAGGCTAATTGTACGGTTAAGATACATCACATTTATAGGAGAGTTTATAGGAACTAATTAACACACATTTGACTACGTATTTACAATATGCTAATAATGAATATAAAGATTTATGTTGAATGAACAGGACTGATAGACCCGATATCCTTAATACGCCCCCGCAAGATGGAGGATCCATCGGATATTCCAATCTTGGATCGATGTTTGATGAATGGAGCACGGGACAATGGTTTTGTCAGTATCTCAGCAAGTTGATCTTGAGAGTTGATGTAAAGAACACGAAGAAGGCCGCCAGAAACTTGTTCCCGAACAAAATGGTAGTCAAGTGCAACATGCTTCATTCGCGAGTGGTACACAAGATTTGCACAAACATATGTAGCACCGGTATTGTCACAAAATAATGTAGGTGTCTCAGTGATAGAAATGCCAAGTTCCTGCAAAATATTCTTCAACCAAATAAGTTCAGGAGATGCATTAGCCAAAGCTTTATATTCCGTCTCTGTAGATGAAAGAGAGACAAATTTTTGTCGTGTGGATCTCCATGATACAATATTGGAACCCAGGTAAAGTATATATATAGTAGTAGTCATGCCCGCATCTTTCACTCCACCCCAATCGGAGTCAGAAAAGGCTGAAATCGTAAGTGAATAGTTACGGTTAAGAAATAGACCATAGTGAATGGTACCTTTTAAGTACCGAAGTAAACGTTTTAGAGCTAACGAATGAGATTGGCGAGGAGTATGCATAAACTAAGAGAGTTTATTGATGGCAAAGGATATATCAGGACGAGTGAAAGCTAAGTATTGAAGTGAGCCAACCAGTTTGCGATAGGGTGTAACATCAACTGTAGGAGTAGAATCAATGGTTGTTAGTGGTTAAGAAGTGCTAAGAGGTGTGGTTACTTCTTTTGCACCCTCCATATGAAATTGATTAAGAACATCTTGGATGTGACGATGTTGTGACAGGAAGAGACCGAAGGGAGTGTGAATAACCTCAACATCGAGGAAGTGATGGAGCACATCCAGATCTTTTAATGAGAACTTTGTACTCAAGGAATTTATGAAGTAGGTAAGAAATTCGGCATCACTACCTATAAGAACAATGCCATCCATATATACTAGAAAGTAACACGTAATGTTGTGTCTCTTGTAAATAAACATGGATGCATCAGCTCAGGATTTGACATAACCAAACTGTAAGAAAAAAGTTGTGAGCTCATTATACCATGCTCTTGGAGCTTGTTTTAGATCATAGATCGATTTCTTGAGCTTGCAAATATGGTTTGCAAATTATAGGTGAACGTACCCAGGAGGTTGAGTCATAAAGACTTCTTCATGAAGAGTTCCTTGGAGAAAGGCATTGTTAACGTCAAGTTGACGAAGGGGCCAGTTATTGGACAGGACAATAGAAAGAATGGTACGAATTGTAACTGGTTTGGTTACCGGACCGAAGGTCTCAAAGTAATCCTTGCCATATTGTTGCAAGAAACCTTTTGCAACTAAACGTGCTTTATATTTGTCAATAGATCCATTAGTTCTACTTTTGATGCAAAACACCCACTTACAACCAATGGGAGTGTGAGAAGTCTTGGGAACAAGTTCCCAAGTGTGGTTTTGAAGAAGAGCATTGAACTCATCATACATGGAATGTCTCTATTTTGGGTCTTTTAGAGCTTGGTTGTGAGTAGACGGTTCAAAGGTAGATAGGATGGGGTGCCGTGTGGTAGAGTTTATGAAGTTGGGGTTGTTATATTTGGAATTAAGCTTGCGGATCCGGTGAGGACGAGAGGTATTTGAAGGTGGTGAGGGAGGTATTTGGGGAGAGGCTGGAGGTGAGTGAATTATTTGAGGAGAGGCTGGAGGCGAGTAAACTATTTGGGGAGATACTGGTGGCGATGGAGAGGCAGGTTCATCATTGTGAGAAGAGAAAGATGGTGATGTATCTGAGGTGGTAGAAGGAACAGGAGAAGTTATGGGTATGTTGGGTGACAATGTAGGAGTAGAGGAACTAGGAAGAGTAGGTGATGGTAGGCTGATGTTTCATGAAGAAAGGGTGGAAATGTAATCATCAGTAGTGGGAAAACACAGAGAATTAGTGGTGGTGTCTGAGTAAGGAAAAATGTGCTCAACAAATTCAACATGTCGGGAATGATAAAGACGATTTGTGAGTGCATCATAACATTTATAGCCCGATTTTGAAGATGAGTAACCAAGTAAAATGCACCTGGTAGATCGTGGGTGAAGTTTGGTAAGAGCATAAGGTCTTAACCAAGGAAGGCACAGGCAGCCAAATGGCTGTAATTTGGAGGAGTTTGGTTGAGTTGTTGATATGGTGATTTTAAGGCAAGAACAGTGGTTGGTAAATGGTTGATTAGATGCACGGCTGTTTGAAAAGCGTGTGAGCAGAAGGTAAGGGGGAGTTTGGCATGGTGAAGGAGAGAAAGTCTGGTTTCCAAAATGTGGCGATGACGTCTTTCTGCGACACCATTATGTTCTGGGGTATGAGGAGGTGTAGTGAAGTGAGATATGCCCTGTTCTTTGATGTAGGTTGTGAGAGCTGTGTACTCGCCACCATTATCTGTAAAAAGTGAGACAAGGGAGGTGATGTAATACATTTTCAGTTAAGGTTTTAAATTGAGGGAAGAGTATAGAAACATCTGATTTCTTTTTCATCGGGTATAACCATGTATATTTGGAATAAAAATCAACAAAGATAGCATAGTATGTATAGCATAGTATCTCAAGTGGTTTAGATGTAGTGAACGAATTGACACTAAAGGGTAATCGATGACTTTTATTAATAGAACAAGAATCACAATGAAAAGAAACATCAGACACTTTATTCGACTCTAAATTTAAATTTTTGAGAGCAACTTGAAAACTTTGATTGAGGGATGGCCCAGCTTGTGATGCCAAGAGAGTAGAGCTCTGGAAGTTATTGTAGTGGTGTTTATTTGAAAAAGACGACACAGAGATTGAATGGCAGCATAGTAGATATCATTGATGTTCACCCCCCACATGAGACATGGCCCCGTGCGTAGACCCTTAACCACAAAATAGTGAGAAAAAATTCAACAGAAACCCGATTAGTTTTGCATGATTTGGCAACAGAAATAAGATTGTTGCGTAATTGATGAACGAAGAGAG